GGTTGGCGGAATTTTCAGATTTTCCACTGATTTTTGTCAAAATTTGTCAACTTTTTGTCAGATTTGCCAAAATTTCCCCTCTTTCATAACGTTTCAGTGCGAATTTCCCCGCTGGTTCCCATTGATTCACCCATTGTCTTTCAGGAAAACAACGAGCCTGGGCAAGTTTGTGGCCTGATTCGGATACGAGATGACGACTTGGGCGAAAATGGGCGCGTACAACTGAGGATTCTGCATCAGCTACCTGAGACTAGTGGTCATTTCCGGTTAGAGGACGACAGTAGTAGTGGCGCCGGTGGCGGTATGAAGCTGCAGCAGCAGGGCAGCGCTATAAAGCTGCTTTGTGAGGATGTACTGGATCGTGAACGTGTACCAGCATATAAATTGCTGTTGGAAGCCGAGGACTGTGGGCGTCCTGCACGGAAATCTCTCAAAATGGTCAGTTTACATGTAGAATAACTGCAGAAATGCTTAAAATATTGGCAAAAATTTTAGCGATTTCAATGGTAATTTCGGTAATTTTTCGGTAATTTCGGTAATTTTTGCAGATATCCATAATCGTCGATGACGAGAACGACAACGCACCGCTGTGTGCAGGTGCCGATCATATCCTACTCGAGCCACCACAACCCAATGGGCCGCAGAAGCCTTTCCAAGTGAAATTGCAATGTTTTGATCTGGATCAAGATGAAGATCAATCGTCTTTAAATGGATTACTCGGATATGAGCTATTGATCTCGGATGGTGCTACTGATTGGACTGATAAGGTGGCCAGTGATAACGTTGATAAGAGTGATAACGGTAGAACTGATGATAAGGTTCGCCTCCACGGTGATATGCTGACAATTGATATGAGGCTGCATCAGACGACGGCACCGTTTAGTTTTGCGGTTCGGGTGTTCGATCGATTCAATGCAAGGTCGGTTATTCTCTAGTTTCGTTAATTTGCCCGGGAATTATCTTTTTCCCGTGAAAAAAAATTTTGCCCTTAGCCGGCATCGAACCCAGTCATAGGTGGTTCGGACGCAGTGTGGAGGTAGCGCCCACTACCACTGCGCGGTTGGGTACCATTGCGCTGGATTTCATCTGAAACTACCTCATAGACCGAGGGAATCTCCACCCTAGCTTGGCCTTTTAGTTATGTAAGCTTAGGCTTGA